CAGCGCTGTGGCAATAGAGCAGTACCTGTCTGCTCTATTTTTGTAAGTATAACTTATTTCAATATATTTTTGTGTTGTTCATACTGAGAGCACTATCTGCTGTTTTATATATATCTCATGGACATCTACTATCCAATACCGGAGAGGCGGACCTATCTCCCCAGCATAAACGAATATCGCACATCTGAGTATGTCCTAGCCTACATCAAAGAAATCTCAAGCCGGACGACGGACCAACCACCTAAGTATATCCGATAGTGGGGATTAAACCACTAAGTGCCTCTTCTCCTAGAGCTGGTTAGAGCTCCAACAAATGTGAGTGAAATATCGTTCCTTTGAATATATACCACATTTGGACATACAATATTTCACCATTGGAAGCTTTTTTTCTTATTTTTTGTCACCATACAGACGTAGCGACACTTGAGGATTATTATTATATTACTGCACATTAGTGAGACTGTTTTAACTTATATTTCTATTTATTCGGATGAACTTTATTTGTTTTTATCTTTATTGCTTATTTTATTCATATACTACTTTTTTTACTAATTTTTGTCAAAGTGCAGCCCTTAACTCCTCTTTTTAAAATGTATTTGTTTATAGTCATTGGCCATTATTACCACTTTGTAGATGAATAATCCCATCGAATGGCTGCCTGCCCCACTGCAAATTTCCCCCTCATGTTTGAACCATGACAGACCTCCCAACAATCCCGATTTCAGGTCATGTCCCACCATTCTGATTTTGTTCTCAGGCAGCACAGAGCAAGTGTATCATTACATTTGCTCACACTGTGAACGGGCCTTAGGACCATGCAAAAAGAACACAATTCTATCTGTTGGGAGTCAATCAGACAGGTTCTGCTACAGTCACACAGTTATTTTCTAAAGTTAAAATTGTAAGTGAATTTAACATGGATTTCAGAGTATAGGACAAATTAGCCAAACTGGAAAATGTATCCAAGTCACCTATGCTTTTAGTTCATCCTCTGCTTCAGTATCAAAATTCACATCAAATTCTCATTTCAGTAAATAACTCTGATAGTTTTCCATTTTAGCTTCCATTTTGCAGTTTGGTTTACCACTCACTATAACCCCTGTTAGTTGTCTCATGTTGCTGTACAAACTCCACTATAAAAGTACTAATTTTCAGACCTCGTTTATAGTAGACACTTGCAGGAAGCTTTATTTGTTTCTGTGCTTTAGCTACATCAAAATCACACCAAGTGGGATATTAATTATTTTCAGCCACCATCGTGGCTATATCTAAACTATCTTTGCCAAGAAAATGATCCGTTTTCCTGGCACTGTAGGTTACCTGTCCCTCCCACCACCCCCCCAATCCCCGGTTGCTGAAGGGGTGAAAACCCTTTCAGTAACCTCCCTCGTTGCTGCTGCTTCTTCCTCCGCGCCGCTCCTCCCTCTGATTGCGTCGGCCGGTGGGCGAGACTGATCCCGCCCACCGGCCGGGGAGACCTAATGTGCATGCGCATTAGCGCTCCCCATAGGAAAGCATTGAAAATTTATTTCAATGCTTTCCTATGGGGAAATGAGCGACGCTGGAGGTCCAGCAACGCTCTAGCACAGGTTTCCTGTGCTAGAAACCAGGAAGTGCCCTCTAGACAGCCACTAGAGATGGAGTTAACCCTACAAGGTAATTATTGCAGTTTATAAAAAAAACTGCAATAATTACACTTGCAGGGTTAAGAGTAGTGGGAGTTGGCACCCAGACCACTCCAATGGGCAGAAGTGGTCAGTGTCTGACCTCATCTTCCAGATCAAGTCATATTTTCTCACTGGTTAGTGAATAAGCCCCAGAATGAAGAGACTAAACTGCAGGACGTGTAAGATAAAATAGATAGATATGTGAGAGAGAGACCAAAAGCCCTGAGGAAGAATACAGTGTAAAATAATATGCGACTCGGAAATAAAACTGCTGAAAAAGTTCCCGGCCACCCGGCTGTACCCACATTCACCAGGCTTAAAGGGACACTCCGGACCCCTAAAGTCTTTAGCTTGCTGGAATGCTTTATGTGGGAAGAGTATATCCTCTTCTCAATTATCAAAATCTGCAAAGTGTAGATTTCAATGGAAATTGGCTCATTAATAAAGTAACTGTATCGTTTTAAAAGTTTTCAATGTTGATATTTCCAAGTGAAATTCAGGTATTTATATCCTAGAGCAGGGGTTTGCAACCTTTTAGCAGCACTGTGCCGATATATGATTGTGATATCCCGTAGCGTGCCGATCCTATTTTTTTTAAATTGAGGTGTGTATGCTACCGTATTCTGCTTGTGTTATTTTTACTGTAATTGCTTTGTATCTTTGTATTTGTGCGTATATGAGCTATTATATTGTATATGTTCATTAGTAGTTTATGGTATCGTGTATGATACATATGAATGGGGGCTGTGTATGAGGGCTGCTTGTGGAATTGTGTGTTTTGATGGATGTGTCACATTGTGTGCTTGGTAGTGTGTGGGGGCTGTTTGGGGTATTGCATGTGGGATTGTGTGCATGTATGTGGATTGTTAGTGGTTTTGCGTTAGTGGGGATTGTGTGTGTGTTTGTGTGTGGGCTGTTTGTATTATTTGTATGAGGGGAGGGTTATTCTGCAGCTCTGTGTATATCTAGCAATGTGGGTGGCTTCCCTGGGGTCCAGTGGAGACCAGGCTGGCCAGGTACAGGTCAAGGACAGGAGTTGCAATAGCTGTCGAGGGCTGCTCTACTACAGTGTGGATTCCCATTCACAAGTGCTGGGAGGAACTGATCTGAGATCACTTCCTCAACGTTCTGCAATGCATAAATTGAGGATTTTCCTTCACCACCTTTTCGTATTAACAGATATCTGAAGTTTCACGGAGACTCCTGATAGGCCAGAGCCTGTTTGGCTCTAGCAGCCTTGAGTGCCGTGGAAAGACACCTCGAGTGCCGTAGGTTGCCTACCCCTGTCCTAGAGCATGTTGTTTTTTTTCTGTTGTTGCTCCCCCTGGATGAATCGGTTTGAGTAGGCGCAGAAGAACTCAGCTTTGTTCTGCAGAAGGCCGGTAACAGTTTCATAACCAGACACCTCACCGATCGGCCAACGTTACTACCAGAAACTCAGTTGAATTGTGAGACTCATTATCCAGGAGATTCCTGCAGCTGGGACTACTAGACTCCCATACCCTTTATAAAGCATTTAGAGAGTTGCATATTAAACCTGGAAGGAGTTAAAGGAACACTCATAACACCTAACCCCTTTATGAGTGAAAAGTGTGTCCTCTTTTTCATTTTACAAAAAGTGTTGATTGGAATAGACATTAGCACTTTTATAAATTATCCTTGTCCTTCCCCCCCAGCTATTTTTCCAGACAGCCGGTCCTGTTACTTCCTGGTTATTTAGCACCGTGGAGATAAACTCAAGAGGCAGCAATTGCTCAGAGCACCTGCCTTGCAAAGTCTTCTCATTGAGCTGCATTGGGAACTCTGACTGGACAACCAGAGAGCCAATGTCACCAGTGGCAAGTGCAGAAGGCCAGGTAGGAACCAGATGAGTAAGGTAAAACAGCTAAAGAAAAAAAGTATATGGCAAAAATTCTGTATTGAGATAGACAAACAATACTTTATTAATAACAAGAAATTAAAAAAATATAAAAAAAAAAATGTTTGGGATTTCTAAAGATTCAGTATTTTGGACCGTTTTACACCAGGTACTCCATTTATTTCACCAAAAACATTATTAGGTTTTATTTATGGTGTTGTTATTGCTTTTATTTTTATTCCAATTGGAGTTTTTACATTTTGTCTTGGGGCATCCTTTATTTCTATCTTAGTAGTTTGTAGGTTTTTTGAGAGAAATACGGTCAGGAATAGAGTTACCCTAACACGTAAACCTAAAGGTAACAGTAAAGGTAAACTTACCGGTCCTTAGAGTGGCCGGGTTAGCGCCTGAGACATATGAAATGTCTTCAGACAGAATAAATAAGAGACAAGCAGAGGTCAGGATGACAGAAATACAGGGAAATCGATAGCCAGGCCAAGATCAGGATAACAGAGAGCAAAAATAGTCAAAACAAGCCAAGGTCAGAAAACAGGAAATCCAATACACGGTATAAACACACTCTCTCCAAAAAAAACAAAAAACACAACAGGGCAAGGAAACAAGGACAACCAGGTATTTATACCCAATACTGGATAGTGATTGGTCACAGAGGACTGTGATGTCACTAGCCTGTACACATTATCAAAAAGCGATACATGGACTGACACTATAAAAGGGGATTAATGGCAGGGGTCCACACATATATGCCATAATAAGGCACCAGGACGTTAGGGATGAATGTGTGTGCATCAGAAAATACATCATGTATGTGATCGCATAGCGCCGCGAGGGACAGGTATCAAGACAAATACCCAACATTTTCAGGTGTGTTGCCTCTGTCAGTTATTTAGCGCTGCTTCACTACCACCATAACTTGGTTTATTGTCCACTGATAGAATATGAAAATATTGGTTTATTGTCCCTGACACACACACACACATACACACATATACACACTGCCTGCACTGTATCAATATAACTAAACAGTATACAATGTACTTGGAGGTAGATGGACATTTCTCCATACAGAAGTTAACACATCTTTTCCTCTTCTCCTTGTCCCATCATACCTTCTGTGTGATCCTGCATTACGGATATATTGTATCCAACAATGTAACCTACACGGTGGCAGTGTCAATTGGGGATGGAGATTGTAGACATTTCTAACACCATTCATAGTTTTTGCTAGCAAGCCAAGATTATTTTCGGTTCTGGTTAAATGTCTGTTGCCAGGCAAATATAGTTATTTTTGTTATTTGTTTGCGTAGCAACATGTTTTAACAGCATTTACTGCAAAGGCAACAAAACCACACTGTAACACAGAATGTGGTCACCCCCCCACAACACACACACTTCATACACAGAGGCATTTTTCTGACATCATAAATCAAAATACTATTAATTTTAACACCATCTATGACCCAATAATTTGGATTCATTCTTAACCACACAAGAGCAAACGTTAACAGCTAAAAAATACAATTTTCATGATGAAACTGCAGAAATCGTGCAAAAACAAACATTCATACACAAGACAAATAAATCATAAAATCTTTTTTTAAATACATTTAATATTTTTGAACCTCAGATAAATAAAGAAAGAAAAACAAAATACAAATAAAAACAACATCAGCTAAAATTGTAAGCAGTGAATTTACCCAAACATTCCATGACATTAAAAATCCTACAAATATTTGATTCTGGCTTTCGCGAACATTGTGGATTTTTGTCTGTGTTTTGCCCATTCCTTGCAGGATTGAGAGGAAAGGTAAATATTAATTGTAGACTCCATTTACACAATCATTTATTTTCTAAGACAAATGCGCTCTACCCAAGTAAATTACTTGCATTTTATATATAAAAATATATATATTTATATATATATATATATATATACACACACACATATACACACACACGAAAAGCTGGCACGCTTATTAGACAAAACACTTGAGCCTTGTAAGAGAGAGTCTGTATATCTATCAAACTGCAATCGAGATTCTGGTTTTGTGAATGCACTGCTTGAGGATCCAATACACAGAAGAAACCACTTCCCATCTACGCTGAAACCTGTGGTTCCATTTGATGTCCCACATGAGCATCAGAGATGCTTCTTTACGTCAACAACTTCTGAAGTAACAAGAATTTGGAACACACTGTATTTTTTCCCTACAATTTTTGGGTTTAACATATTAAAGCAGCACTGTCACCATCTCATTTTCCGGTGGTGGTGGTAGGGTAACAGTGGCACTTTCATCTACAAACTAAGAAAAAGAAATAAAATATCAAAATAGAAAAACAAACGCAAGTGGTCATTGTCATCCATGGGCTTTCCTGATCAGTAATGTATAGTATGAATTTTGTGTGATTCTCTGTGCCAGCCAACTGGTCCTGTGATACCCAATCTCTGTGGACCATGGAGACTTGTAGTGCAAATGGTTAACAGGACATTCTGAGTGAATGATGGAATTAGCCTCAAACACTTCCACTCAACAAGGCACAGGCTTGATCTGGCATTTAGATGCTGTGGCTACAAACCTAATGTTGTACGACCAGGACAAGTCTTGAGCAACTACAATGCCAGAGTCCACCTATCTCGGTTGTTTGATTAGGAACACATGTTAACAGCTGGAAACAAGACTGAATCAAAGTGCACCAGAAACCTGTGAAAAACTGGAAAAAGCAAAACAGTGTGCCAAGCAAGATTATCAAAATGTTGAATAACACCAAAAATGTTGGTAAGCCATTTTTAGGACCCTCTTATTACAGTAAGATTCTGCTCACTCATGTCCACTGCAAGATGGTCTGCACAGAACAACTGTCTGGACATTAACACCTTGAAAACGGGTCATCATTTTTTATTTTTTCTAGTGCAGGAGGCATCTGGGAAGCCTCACAAACAAAAGTATGAAAGAGAAAAATGTATCTGATAATTCAGATCAACCTCAACTGGAGGCCACACACACACCTCGGTCCCGTAGAAAGGATACATCCAAACTATGTAAACATTTCAAATAAATAAGACATACAAATTCATAGGATGGCAATAAAATGCAAAACATTTAAATCTAATGGATAATGAGAGAAACTGCTTTTTTTAACCATCTGCTAAAAAATAAAAATAAAAAATAAAAAATAAAAAAATTAGTCAATTTTAAAGGAATTAAGACTGATGAAGGTTTTAGGAGCTGTATATTAGGATTAGTAGCTATATAGGATTGGTTAAATGGATAGTAGCAAAATGAAAAAATACCAGGATCAAACCCAGGACTGGGTGGAACATTATACGCAGGTCAGGCCCCAAAACAGAAATAGGTCTGCAACAAAAGTAACTCATTAACCTTTTGACTTGCATTAATTAATTAATGTTCCCTCTAGTAGAAAAAACACCCACAATTTATAAATTACTTCAAGGGAGGAGGCCAGTGTTTTAGACTATTATGGAGGTACCTCTAGTCTGGCACAAAAAGTGGTCTGTCTGGTTCTCAAATTATGCAAAGGTTTGTCTATCAATGCAACGCAGGCTACCAAGATCAAGGCCCCATAGACATTCCCATCCACAGAGAATGTTCTTCTTCGCTTTACGCGTGAGGGTTTACACGATGAACAACCTGTCTGCACTTGGCTAAAGAACTTGCGCTCTGGTGTGCTTAGCTGGAGGGGCCATGATCCTCTGTAAAGATCTGCTCTCTGTCTATATATAAAAAAAGGCTGCTCGGTGATATCTAACCAAGCTACAGTTAATGTTCTCAAGTGACGTAGTGTATATGGCCTGAAAATTCTTAAGGCAATAAGGATAATAGAAGATACATCTTTTACTTTTTAAAAATATATATATCATTGACGCCAACGGGAATTTTGAAGCAAGATGGCTAAATCATCAGCCAGTATTCAAAATGCACCAACACATAGTTTTTAAAGTCTTCTTGTTTTTGATATATTTTTAATGTTGATAATTAAATCCTCAAAGTCTCATTACTCAACAGCAATAGAAGGAAGGAATAAAAATCTTGAGGGCAGGACCCGCCTGAACCCACTCAAACATCTATAAAATACAGAATTACTCACATCCCATAAACACAATATACCGATGGCAAATTAATAACAGTGTGACGTCTATCATTTTATACAAATCTAATAATTACGTGTAACACGTAGGTTTACATTATATCACTTAGAACACATTTGGACTCTGCATTTTACTGGGATGAACTAGGTATTCCTTATTATATTTTAAAAATGCCTACAAAAATGGAGTCAAAAGGCTCAACATTTATTCCAGAAGAGGGCAAACATCCTCTTCCGGATATGAGATTGTACCTGCTCTGATGTAGGCTCCATGACTACTGGAGACTATGGACCTATGAGACAGGAAGAGTTTACGTAACACACATTCAGTACCACCAAGTAAATCGAACGGTGTGCTGAGCATACACCAACGTTGGACAAATGCCTATCTCTGCAGCTTCTGATTAACTTTACCATTTAGGATTATGGGATTTGTAATTCAACAAATTATGGCTGCTAAGGATTATGGGAACTGAAGTCAACCACATCACATGCGCGAGCTCCCCAGGCAGAGAAACTACGAACACTGCAACCCAGAAATACAATGAGTCTTGCAAATAGTTCTGGAGACATTCTGGAGTAAAAAAATGGGACAAGGGAAAATAAGAGTCAAAATGATTATGTCTGTGAATTGAGTGCTTTAACATAAAGATAATACAGAAACAACATGAGTGATAGTCCAGGAGACAGAAGTCCTATCGTAAATTCAAAGTGCTTTCCTAGAGAAGGTTTTAGGTAACCGCAGGTCTGAGTGACTCACTGACATGACAAGGCTTGCTCTTTTGGAAACTGATTAAATGGATTTACTGAAAAACGAATGCAAGGAGTAACTCAAAGGCTGAGGGGAAGATGTGGGAAGTCTTCCTGAGGTTCAAAGCTACACGAATGTTTCTGGCAATCAAAGGATTAACTAACCCCTTTCTTGTCGGCTCTCTGCAATGCAAGTTTTATTGTCATTAATCTGAGAGCATCGACATTAACTCTTTCATCACCAAGAGCAACACAACGTTTAAAGGGTTTGTGCTTATATCTGGGTTTCTTAGGATCCGTTCTACTGTTAAAATAGACACTCTAAACATCAAAACCACTTCATCTGAATGAAGTGGTTATGGTGAATAAACCTGGTCGCTCCCCCCCCCCCACCACAACAAATTTAAAACCTTTGCCATTTCTGTTTACATTTTGCCTAAACCATTTGCAACGAGGATATCACAGAAGGCAGAACTACTCTCCCAGCTCGGAATTAAAGGCAACACTTATTTATTATGATTATTTAAAACATGGGTGTTTGAATCTAAAAACGGAATAAAATACATTTAACGTTAAAAATATATTCTAATTCGGAGTGTTTACTTAAAAATATATGGATTACAATGTTCGAGTCTATCATACAGTGTTTTCATGGTTGTTGGGTAATACTTCTGATATCAAAACAAAAAAAAAACAAAAAAAAAATCACATGCTACCCAAAAGGACTACTACCGGGGGAGAGGGACAGACACCAATTATTCAACATTAAATATATATATTTAAAAAAAAAAAAAACTAATTTAAGGCCCACCGTCTGCCCATTCAGCCTACTGTCTTTCCATTTGGGCTTGTCAATGGGAGGAAGCGAACAGGACCAGAAAAAACACACCACGTTATCTTTTAAACATCTTAATGATTCGTTAAAAGTGGGCTATGGTATCTCTTTCAACGTCTGTGATTCCATCATCGGATCCGATTGGTCGCTGGTATTTTATTGGCAGGCCGGCAAATGGAATGCACATAAGAACAAACAATATGCACTGTGCGCATACAATCAGTACCAGTTGTATCTGACATCTATCGCATGATGCTCATTGGCCATTTAAAACAGAATTAAGCACATTAATAAGGGCAAGCAAAGTTTTATTCACGGAGCACTGTCATCCAACAAAGGGATACACAGAAAGATTCAGTGCTTGTAAAACTCAGGCACCACACGGGTTAAATCTGTAAACAACTACAGTCCACAAATTCTGGAATGTTTCAGAAAAAAAATAAGAAATTGATTAATACCTGCATTTTAAATTCTGGCAGTAGACATAATTTTGATGAAGCAGAGGGGACTGGTCACACATTTTTTTTGTGGCACTGGAGGCGTGTATACAAAACGCTTTCTGTTCCCTGACAGTTTGACAGTGTAGCAAACACAGGCTGTGTTATGGGATTATTTTGTGCTGTCAAAGCGTAAAGTGTGCGGCTGTGCGCCCATCTCTCGGCAAAGCACGGCTAATCAACCGTTGTCTTAAAAAGCTGCATAGGGGAGATTTCTACAGAACAAAAGTAACTTTAACACTGAATAGGAAATGAATTAGGGTTAATTCTGCTTTCAATACTGCGTAGAAACTGTAAAATCTAAACAAAACAACTTTTTTTGCATCCAGTACAGATAACGCCATATAAAGTTTGAGTGTTCTAAAACAAAAACAAAAACCCTTGCACTCGTTACTTGCCTCACTGGAGTGACTTTATTGCAATCACGCAGTTTTTGTGTTGAATATTTTTTTTATTGACTTTTTCCAGTGACTTTATTTTGATGCTTATTTCTTGCCATCTTATTGAATAATTATACTTTCAAATTTGATTTGCCTTCCACGTTGCTCTCTCATGTATTATATGAAAACAAAGAAATAAATAAGAATACCAATTTTGTAAGCCTGCTAGGATCACCAGTCACAGACTAGTGCAAATTTACAGCCCTCTGGATCTGCAGAATAATTGCAGGAGCTTTTCAAAGACCAGTGTGTTCCAACCTTTGGATTAATTGAAAAGAAGAAAGAGATAGCACTATTTGCACTGTAAAATAAACATCTCCTTTTACAAAGCACTTCCAGGTAACCCCCCTCCTTATCACTTCCTCCCACCCCCCTCATCAATACTGCAATAACAGACCAAACAACAGGAACACTAAAAATATGCAACATTGTATGAACTTTGTACTTAAAGCAACAGTAACAACTGGGACACTATTTCCCGATATTACATGGCACAGAATAGTGTATGGCCTTTCATAGGGTTTGGTTTATGGCTAAACCATGTAAAATCATTGAATGGATTGTCATGTGCATTTGAGTTCTTGTCAAACATGTTTCTGCTTATCCAAAAGGCACAAAGCATGGTCATATTGCCAAGTTTTTTTTGTTATATATTACATATAAATATATAGATATATAGAATTTTCCCAAATTATCTCTTGCCAATCCTTTTATTCCAACAAATTGCGCTCCGGAGCGTTCTTTGGCATTGTGTGAGATCCTCTGACGCATGTTGCGCGTGATAAGAAAAAAAGCTGGGTGCAATCAATGCATTTTTAGATCCATTTTATGCTCCTTTTAAAAATAAAAATAAAATAAAAAAAAGGATCTGATTGCCAGAGGGGTTGCCATAGGCTCCTCAAATGTTTTCTGGGAACTGCTCAATAAACAAACAAGCAAAAGAAAAAAAAAGTTCTGTACCTTCATCCAGTGAAGTTTAAATCAAAATCACTCAGAGACTTTCCCTAAAGTGCCCTCTGGATTTCAGAACAAGAGACGACAAAATTTACCTACTGGAAAGAAAGGATGAAATGTTTTAAGTACACAAGAGACTACAAATAACTTAGAACCAACCTGGACCCATGGAAGAGTCCGATATAATTTGATATTGTAAAGGAATGAAAACATTTGTAGCCCCTTCTGCAGCCCTAGAAAGTCTGTGCTACATCAAAGTTTCATGAAGTGTGTTATCCAGTTAATGGTGTTTTGTACAAGGCATGTTCTGAAAACCAAAATGCTTAGTTGGGATGCTCTTGCCAACAGCTGTATACCCTTCTTGACATCACCTGACATGTAAAAGATCAGTTTGTCCTCTAGAAGTGTTTGTTACAAGGCCAAGAGGGTTGGTGAGTTCAAGGAATCAGAGGACTGGTCACCACTGCTGCTACTCCTACGATGGGCTTTGGAACAAGACTCTGAAGGAGAAGTAGATGAATCCTGATCCAGTACACTTGGGTAGGTAAAGACGAGGTTGGAGGTGTTAGGAGTGCTTGGAGGTGTTGAAGACATCACTACAGGTGTGTTAAGGGGCTCCTCATTGAAGAACCCTCCACCAATACTGATGGGCTTAATCACAGACCGTTGAGTTTTTTCATTGTTGGACGACGAAGAAGCAGGAATGTCTTCTTCAATAGGTTCCTGTTTGATAACCACCCTGCTTCCAACCATAGTGCGGATAGTGTGAGAGGAACTGTTTCTGTCATCAGGTTGTATCTTACACATGGGGGAATGGGCGACCAACATAAACTCCAGTTTATCCTTTTCTTTTTGGAGTTCAGCAATCTCCTTCTGCAACCCAGACTTCTCCTGCTCGAGTTTCTCTGTTTCCTGTAAAGCAGAATGGACAAACCTTTAGCTATACGTGAATGGAGTAGTAACTGAGATCACCAAGTCTTTCATAGAAATTAGTGACGTTGACAGAGAATCATAAAGATAAAGATTTGAGTCACCAGAAACTTTGAATTTGTATTTTACTTTTATTTGGCTGGATTGTCCATAGCACAATGCAATACTAATAAATTACCGTATTTATCGGCGTATAACACGCACTTTTTCTCCCTGAAAATAGGGGGCAAATTATGGGTGCGTGTTATACGCCGGCCCTTTAAATGCTGCAGCCGCCTGAGCGCTCTGTCAAGAGCGGTCAGGCGGCTGCTTGGTTCTCACCTCCCCTCCCCTGTAGCGTGGCCGAGCTGCTCTGCTGTCCGCGGTGGCCGGCCGGAGTCCAGTCGCGTTTTCTGTCCTGTACCCGGTCGGAGGGCGGAACACTGCAGCGCACCTTAATAAAGTAAAAAGGGGGGGGGAGTAAGAAAGGGGAGGGGAAGTAAGAGGGGAGGGAGTAAGAAGGGGAGTAAGAAGGTTAGGGGGAGTAAGAAAGGGGGTAAGAAGAGGGGGAGAGGGGAGTAAGAAGTTCTTTATTTGAAATTTAAGTTTGTTTTTTTCCCCTGAAATTTCCTTCTTAAAATGAGGTGCGTGTTATACGCCGATTTATGTAGACACAGTAGGAAACAGGTAGGCAATCTTTGACACTCCAGATGTTGTGGACTATACGCCGATAAATACGGTATGTAGACACAGTAGGAAACAGGTAGGCAATCTTTGACACTCCAGATGTTGTGGACTATATATCCATAAAGCTCTTATACCCATAATGCTGGCAAAGCATTAAGAGAGATGTGGTAGAAAACTTGGTGTGCCAAATGTCAGGCCTCATGGAATCTAAATCATCACATTACGTGAATGGTCTTTAGGTCGACTGGGCCATATACTGAACTGAAACTCATACCCTCCCCCCCACCAAAAGTGACTGAAAGCAGCTAGCCCAGTCTTTTTTACATTTTAAAATAGCATGTGTATAGCAAAATGTAGGTGTTGCTTATTGTGACATAGCAAGTAAAATAGGTCTGCAAGAGTATAAAAAGTTTTTTTTATAAATCTATTTTTAATTAACCAAACTTGGTCATTTGTACTTACCGCCTGAAGTTTATCTGTTAGCTCTCGTCTTCTGTTGCGACATTTGGCTGCTGCCAACTTATTCCTCTCCCTCCTCACCCTTCGCTTTTCCTCTTCCTCGGGTGATAGCTGCAGATAAGGGGGCGGGGGGGAGAGAAAAAGTTTTTTTTAAAAACCATGACATTTTTTATTCTCTCTTTTTTTTTTTTTAAAGCAACGTTTTTTGTGGTCAATCGTTATTTGTTGAGGAAGCAGCAGTACCAAAAGGATTGCGAAAGACAGAGTACATTTGCCAATCAATCCTTGGTGGTCAGACTGGAGAAGTTTCACAACAATTATCATCAACTGCTTGAACATGGAGACACACAACTTTTCGTTCTATGCCATTCAGGTAAAACCATCCTTCAGATACAAGAACGTCTACTTGCATACACACCAAAAATATAAAACATTATATATTCTATGAACATACACACTCAGTACTTGTCATGTGGATGCATCCATATGTTACAATAGCCCTTCCTTCTCCCAGTAACCATTCATTTTAATAGGGTTAGAAGAATTAAAAAAGAAAAAATTTCTTTGTGAACATCTATGTGCTATGCAATATTTTATTGAATAAACAATGCAATTTGAAGGAAGGTGGAATAATTAGAGGTAGTCTGCCATTTACATGTACCCCCAGCATTGCGACCGATATGCAGATCATCAAATGATGACCTTACAGAAAGCATATCGGGATGGAGGGACGCATGACCAGAACAGAAGGCATGATAATGGAAAGCTCCTAATGGGAGGATAATTCCAACAAAGTAGCAAGAAGCTCAGAGGACAAGAGTGATGGGGTTTGTTGTGTAACATTAGAAATCCATCCATCAATAAATAAATAAATGAAAATCACATTCTGAATTGTGATGACATTGAAGGGTAAATGACTAGAAACTCTGGCCAGTAAAGAGAGACAGTGATCACAGACCACAGACACAAACAGAATTCTAGTTCTCCAATGGTATTTATTTACCCAGTTATTCACCTGTTCATCCCGTCTCCTTCTGCCCGCGGCTGTGCCAATTGTTTTGATCACACCTGGTCTTGGCAATGCCGTATGCCCAGTAACCGAAGACAAACTGGGTACAGGGTGACCATAAGGATGTGACCGGACATAAGGGTTGGACATGGAGGTAATGACTGTCGGTTGCACCATCCACTGAAGGTCCTGGCTGGTGGTAATGGCATTAATGGTAGGGATGAAAGCGCTGCTTGATCCGGGCATATCTGTCCTGAATTTCTGGAGAGGGAAGAAATGGGATATGTGAGGAAAACAAAACAACCAGTATACACAGGATCTTTATTACATACAGACCGCGCACAGTCCTTATGATACCAATGGCCAGCATCCCCATGCACAGTCCCTATAGGATCAATGGCCAGCGTCCCGCGCACAGTCCCTATAGGATCAATGGCCAGCATCCCGGGCACAGTCCCTATAGGATCAATGGCCAGCGTCCCGTGCACAGTCCCTATAGGATCAATGGCCAGCGTCCCGGGCACAGTCCCTATAGGATCAATGGCCAGCGTCCCGTGCACAGTCCCTATAGGATCAATGGCCAGCGTCCCATGCACAGTCCCTATAGGATCAATGGCCAGCATCCTGGGCACAGTCCCTATAGGATCAATGGCCAGCGTCCCGTGCACAGTCCCTATAGGATCAATGGCCAGCGTCCCGTGCACAGTCCCTATAGGATCAATGGCCAGCATCCCGTGCACAGTCCCTATAGGATCAATGGCCAGCATCCCGGGCACAGTCCCTATAGGATCAATGGCGAGCGTCCCGTGCACAGTCCCTATAGGATCAATGGCCAGCGTCCCGTGCACAGTCCCTATAGGATCAATGGCCCGCGTCCCGTGCACAGTCCCTATAGGATCAATGGCTCGCGTCCCGTGCACAGTCCCTATAGGATCAATGGCCAGCTCACCAGGTACACATTTGACGCCGCACAAATCGGTACACGCTCTGTTTCATTCTGTGATAAAATGTGATGACCAGAAGCCAACATGTCACTCCCTCTGTCTGAGCACATTTCACACCTTGCTTTACCTCCCCTCTCATACGCTCAGCCGAGACATTTCCAATCACAGCAAGCTAATGGCCTGACTGTAACACTGAATGTCTTGAGAACTAGGATTCCTTCCTCCCTGCACATCAGTGACCATTCTATCTATAATGTTTCTGAACTACACCTTTCAGCTTGCTGAGCTTTACATGTGATACGAATGTATTCCAGAGGTGCCCGGGCTAGCCCTCATACACTGGGTGTTACACAAACAATTGGCTTTCAAACACAGAAAAAAAATAAGAAGCTGGCAAGTGACAGACAGAATCCATAGGTCAACAAGGATTAGTTATCCCATGTCTTTAAAATTATATTCACTGTCTAACAAAATATATTCACAAGATGTTAAAAAGTATTAAAGAAAAACAACAGTTTAGTGGTGACGTATCGCTTATTTACATAGAGAAACAAACAGATCTAGGAGTCCATGTTTAGAGAGTTATTCCACTATAATCACTCACAAATAATAAAAAAAAAAAAAAAAAGGAAAAGGTTAAACAGCGGCTGGATATTGCAAATCTCATTTCTCTCAGCCAGACTAAACTGGAATGAAAGAAATTGTTCCATTCAAATACTATTAGGATTGTCAAATGTGAAAAATGGTTAATAAAGGGTTTGACGATCAAAAACGTATCCAGTCACCATTCATTATTTTATTTAGGAGCAGGGAAATAAAAAATATCCTGCTTAATCTCAAACAGATTTACAAAGCAGATTGTCACAGAACGAGATCTTCCCTACGTCTAGCCTCGAATCCGATTAGTGTACATTCACAAGAGGTTAGATCACCAATTCCTCTCCACCTGGCTATGGGAGTAGGTATATTCTGTGCGTTATATGCAGACGCTGAACTGACATGAACAATACAAACACGGCCGCAAGCAATATTAGTTATAAAATAATAAAGGTAAATTCAAATGTTTAAAAGCAAAACACAAACACGTGTTCCAGGGAAGGGAAAGAAATAAATAAGATTGCATTAGTGGGCATGATTGACTGTCCTCTCGAAAAGAACATTTTGACGCCATCTACTCAATGATGTTTATATATGAAGAACAATTCTACAACAATCTGCGGATACATTCTATCCGTACCCATGTGGATTGTTCCATGTTTAGAACTTTGCCCCAGAAACGAATACAGAACTTAAATCAGAGCAGATCCAGGACTAGAACACAGAACTAGCAGAAGGATGTCAGTGTCAGGGGATCGATGAAAAGTCCCTGGTTGCCAATTTTACATGTCCAGTTTGAGGATACAGAATAATGGTAAATTAAAACACACTAACGGGAGAAATCCACGCCATACAGACCTATGGTCGGGGCTGGATTGAAATCAGGAACATTATATCACTTTACAAGAAGTTAAAACAAATGGAGGAACTACTCGAAAAAAAAAAAAGATGTCAGTCAAACATTACCAGGTGTGAAAGCATTTAAATCTACTGTAAAACTAACAAAAAGTCAAAGGGTACTGGAGGAGCGTTGCAGAATCACCCAGTGACTCACATTCCGACATGGAATTCGTCATAATTACACCATCTGGGTAGCAGGGCTATAGCTAAGAATTGTAAATATGTATAGAATACATAATGTAACATGCCATAAAACTCCACAGGAAACAACACAAAACAAGCCGCTAAATTATATATAAAACCTTTATAGTTATAAGCAAATAAAGAAGTATAAATAACACAAAACCTAGATGTATGGCATGCTGTAATATACGTTTCTAATTGCATTTTTTTTGTCCTTTAATATCATTTATTTTCCCTTCAGCATTCAGAAGGCAATGCCAAACTGTCTGAAGTGAACGAACATATTATAAACCATTTATAACACCTGCGCTTCCGGAGGGCGCCCTGGAGCTGTGAAATTCCGAACTTAGAAATTCAACAGAAATCACCATTGTTGGTATACTGTATTGGGTTTATTTGTGAAAACAGTGGAACGGAAGATTAAAAAGTATCTTTTAATGATTTAAGAAAAGGGAAATAAATAAAAATGTCAATAAGTGGGAGGAGATGGCAGATTCTACATAATAGTAAGTTATTAACCATCACAGATTAGGGGTCATGGACCCTTTGTTTCTGGATGGGCCTTGTCCTTCCAAATTCTAAGTATTACATGCGTACGGCGTGTATTTTAGGTCTTTGTCCCTGGTGTAATAACGCAAAGAGTAGAGAAACAAACCTGTCGAAGAAGTTAAGGGGTACAGACAAAGAACGAGAAAAGAGGCAAGAAGGGGCTTGCTCGAAACGGCTTAAACGTTGCATTCAACCCATGTACACAGTGCGAAGGTTTTATATTAAATACCGCACATAATGCAGAGTATTACAAGTACAATAATGACAACGGCTTTACAGATTTAAGAGCGAAACAGCTCCCTATTACACTTTATGCCGTGTATTGGCAAATCTCTATAAATAAGGAATGGGCTTCCTGTCTGCACTTACCAAAAAACTAAAAAGCTGAAAGTCAGGATTGTCCTGCTCTTAGACAGGTTTCCTCTGCCATTACAATTCCTGCTCTAAAGGGAGAGGCCGTAAAACGATTGCATAATCCCCTCCCACTGTAAAACGATCTCCTTTAATCTGCGTCCCCTTGTTCGATGACTGCACGCAGTTTATTCCAGGTGTGGTTACACAAAAGCCTGGCACTCCTAGGGACATTTAACACATTCTTCCCCTCCACAGACTGGTTCAGGTAACCACTTATGTCATTTCAGATATACTCCCTGGTTAAAATTGTAAGGCGCTGCGGAATATGTTGGCGCTGTATAAAGGTCAATAATAAAAGTGTATCAAAATAGATATAAAAAATAAATAAAATTCAAAAAACAACTCTGCTGGCTTCTTGACTCACAGGATCTGTGAGTTGCTCAGCTATCTATTTTATGTGCGGGGGACAGGCATCGTGTGCTCCCATCACCCTCTCTCAGTAAACAAAAGAAGACAGTTTGGCAGCAGTTAATGTTTACTCCTTAAACATTAGAGTTTACTGCAACTTTTAATGTTTTCTATTCTGCCTGATGCATCCAGTCTTCAACTCATTCAGTTTACAGTTCAGCTATTAATGGGGGGGAATCACCCCACTCCCAAAATCTAGCTGAGTAAACCTAGAATGCAGTTAAAAAAGTGTAAAACGTTAAAAGAAATTTAACTGGTGCAATGCCAGCTAGGGAAGGAGGCAGAGACTGAAGGAAGACTAAAGTCCAGACCTCATTCATACAATCTATATGGCAACCTGCCTCTTGGTGAATTACAATTATTTATATAGCACCAACATATTGAGCAGCGCTGTACAATAGTGAAAGAAAACAGACACTAAGTTCTAACAAAACATGATTGATATACTGGAAGAGTAGGTGAAGAGGGTTTTGTCCAAATAAACTTACAATCTAAAAAGGCTTCTAAAAAGGTGTTAAATCTCAGACATCAGTTGTCCTGTCTTACCCACTGGGACACTGACAGCCTCACAGATCAGCTCGGGAGACTTAGCCACAGCTTCTATTAAGTCATCACTGCAGGCTTTACTGTCTCTTTAACATGAAACGTAATGAACCAGTTTGCTCAGCGTAATGTAGAGATGATTTTCCATTCTTTAATGTACTGCTATGGCAGTTATTTCCAAAGAACTTTAATACTGCTCTTATCTTTTCTGGAGAAAAATGATTAGTCTGCTGTGAGTGACAGGATTTGACCCAGATCTTTCAGTAAAAGGGAAGTCCTAAATCTCTCATCGGATGCCATAGGCAGTTGTTGCAGCCAGTTACATTGTTAGAATTCACTTGTCACAATGTAATTTGGGTATTAGAGGCCACAGAATTTATATATGGCCCCCAGAGATGGCGCTGCTACTGACACATTTTTCTCTTAAAAAAAAAAAAAACCCTCAATAAATAAATTAAAATAAAATAATTACAAATACAAAAACAAATAAGTTAAAAAAAATATATATATCAGGTTAGCCATAACCTCTATCTGGACACTCCATATTCTACAAATTGTCTCAATCTATGTCTTACAGACTTTACGTGATGTTTAGTTTCAAGAAATCAATGTAGAATGTAAGGGAATGTTCCCATTCACCCGAGATCAGACTACAATCCCCACGATGCTTCAGGCCACCCATGTTCTATAGGATGAACCCTGTGTAGTATGAAATCCTATTATGGCTTTATTTGAACCATGTGAGAGCCCATTCATTCACCTTGTTCTGTGTTATTGGGCTCCACAAAGTATGACTCAGTGTGTTGCAATGATCCCTGTGATGGATTTGATTATTTTATTAGCCAACACAAGGAAGGAGGCATTTCCTCATTCGCCCGCAGAAAAATGAAATTGTTCTCCCCCTCAGGCTCCCACACATCCTTCGTTTACTGGAAATGTGCAAATGATCTCCCTGTTTCACACAATCCCAGGAAGTTGTGCTCACTTTGGAGGCCTATAGGGGGCAGAATTGCTACACATAGACTGCATTAAGGATTGGGAATTTTGTCATTTCTGGGAAGCCTGCTTTGAGGTGTCCGGAATGTCTCCAGAATGTAGCTCCTGGCAGAGTTCACTCCCCCCACCCCCTCTTTTATTTGTGTTAAACCAACCATCTCTCCCCCCATCCTCAAATAAGATTTTCTTTTTTAAAAAGAGGATTTTCGGTTATTTTAGGGAAAGGTAAGATGGAAAATTCAAGGAATAGAAGAAGATTAATTGGTGCTGGGTTAAGACAGATTTGACTTTTTTGTTGTTACACGCTCATACTTTTTCCCATCACAGGAAAGAGTTTAACAAGTAGACAATGGAATCCGAGTTATTTAGTAAAACTATGTGAAGATTGTGGGAGGACAGACATGACTGGGCCATTAAAAAGTTAACCTTTTATAGCCTGTCCAAAAAGCAAAAAAAACAAACCATTGTTAGCAAAGTGTATTAACCATTTATAGAGCTTGTTTATTTATTTATAAAATATTTTACCAGGAAAGATACATTGAGATTTCTCTCGTTTTCAAGTATGTCCTGGGTCCACAAATCATTGCATTGTTACAATTAGGGTACAATAAAATACAAAAACAATATTAATACACAATAAATACAAAATTTAACATAGAACAGGCAGGAAATATATAATCACCCATGACACATGCATTCTGTTTTGAGATATGTAGAGAGGGATCTCTTAAAGGACTTTAGGCTTAGGGAAGATTTTAAATTGTGCGGGAGGTCGTTCCACAATTGCGGCGCTCTGTAGGAGAAGGAGGATCGGGCTGCTTTCTTTTTGTATTGAGGTAGACTAAGTAAAGTGCTAGTACTGGATCAGAGGTTATAGGAGGTGGGAACAGCTGAGGAAAGCATTGTGTTCAGGTAGGGTGGGAGTTTCCCAGTTAACGTGAAAAATAAAGCATAAAAAGGAAACCTTTATTTAAAATAATCATTGCTTCAGTACTAAAACTGGTGTCTTCTACTAAATTACTAAAAATAAAAAAAAATAAAAAAAATTTAAATAAAAAAGTATAAGCCTCCCTAGATCTGAAAACGTGTACATGTTATCAAATCGCATGGGTTGTCGCATATCGCATTGAGTAATGCTTTCCTATGGGCGAGTGTGAATGCGTGCGCCTCTGGCCACGCATGCGGCTCCACTCGGGAGCTGAAGTCGACGGAGGAGGGGTAACCAGTGCCGAGTGAGCCCGGCGCTGGGTTAAGGTAAGCAAACAAATGGTTAACCATTTATTCGCTGTGGAACGCGGCCCTAGTGACCTAAAGGGTGACTAGGGCTCTATAACGTTATGAATACATATCTGTATTCCTATCGCTATAGTGTTCCTTTAATTTTAACAAAACACGTATGACATACCGGAACAGTGGGTGAATAGGACCTTGTAAAATAAGCTCACAATCTAAAGTCCTCCCCACAGGCAAAACAGATGTAGAACAAGATGGCAGCTGCACGTAGCGCGGTGTGCATGAGTTGTTGCTATAAAAGGGACTTTTGGAGCTCTGAAAAAAAAAAAAAAAAAGGACCTTGGCATTTTTAGGCCAGTGGACATATTTGTTAGCCCTACACCTAAAAAAAAATTAAAAATAAAATTAAAAAAAATAAATAAATCACAATTTAGTTTCTCCACCAACCTAAGACAAATTATTCTAAACCTCTGTGTACCAGACTAGAATACACGGGGTGTTCATAATGCCCAGTGTTTTCCAGAGCAGGAGGACAGAGTCAGTGAGCTAGCAGCTTCGAGCACGGTTGCCTAATCAGTCAGGACAAACAGGAAATGTTCTGCATGCTCAGACATTGCTGAAATTTAAAAGGTAGGAAGGGCAGCCACGCGGCTTGCACGACTGGCCTTCAGAGATGGAGCCTTTTCCCTTACATGTACAAACAAGATTCCCACCAAACCGTTCAGTACCAAAAGGGCAAGCAAAGCTAGAACACTGAAACCCTGGTTAATAGGACCCATTCGCCTGTGAAACCTTTGTTATGTACACAAGGAGCGCATTCAATGATAGATAACAGCTCCTGTACCTGGGGTTATTTATCACCAATGGCAAAGCATTATGGGAGTGGTAGTTCACAGAAACTAGTGTGTCAGACATTGTATCAGTGGTGCACACACCATCAAACTGAGACAAGTGGGTGAAGTTTAATGAAAATCTAATATTTGTATACACCATTTATAATGGTAAAAATAAGTGCTACTCCAAACGATGCATAAAGCGGCATGGTCACCCCCTCTCTCTCCAAAAAAAATGAGCATTTCATGAAAATCAAATCTTTGTAAAATCCTCATAAAGACTCTTGAAATTTCACTAAAATTCCAACTCTGTCAAAACAAAATCTATGAAAAGGTGGGGTATTATATCCTACGCTTGACGCTGTCAAGCTTTGTCTAGCTCTTTGCTATCACTAGAGATTACTGAGGGGCAAAAGGATCGGTCTATGGAGAATGCTGCAGTCTCATAGGTTCCGCCTTAGTCCTCAGTGTTGTACTGTTGCGTATGCACGGGTGGCAGATGAAGCTCCAGGAGCTGAAGAGGACCTCACGGAAAAGGATAAGCGGGCATTCTCAAAGATGTGGTCTGGAGGCAGTGGCCCTGTAGTTTTGATTCTTGAATGTAAAAAATTGTAGATTTGTAGAAAAGGCAATGTTTCCATTGCTGGGTTAAACACTCCTCTAGTGGTGGTCTTCCAGTCACAGTCACTAGAGGCACTTCCTATACAACGACCAAGTGACCCTAGCTCATGTGACCAATTGGAGCTCATAGGAAAACATTGAATTCACAGATTTCCTAGGAGAAGCATTGGATTGGAGAACATCATGTCCCCTCTAGGAGAGGCATTGGAATGGACCACTGCCAAAAAAAAACACAATGCCAGCTCCATAACGGTGCTCAAGAAGTAAGGGGCAACTAGGGAGTTTCAGCTCTGGAAAATGTAAGGTCTCATGTAAATAGTGACAAGGGCTCTATAGCATTTACAGGTTTGTATTTCAAATGCTACAGTGCTCCTGTAATATATTGAACAAGTTCCTATCAGAATGGATTTCCAGCCCTCCCCGACTGTACTTCCCTTTTTTCAAACTGCCAGGATGCACGCACTCACTTCTGGCACGTTCCATGGCCCGAATTAGGGAACAAAAACTGATATCCGAGCTGAAAAACCAGAGCTAATAGTCACAAGCAAGCTACTTTCTACGCCACAAAACAAACAAATACACAATTAAACCATGTCTGTGGCATTTAATGGGTTATGCAAGCAATGGCTAGTTGTAGCAGACAGGTTTGTGAACGGCAAAGCATCATGGTAAATGTAGTTCACAACAGTGGCGTCACTGGGGAGGGGGGGGGGCAGAGGGGGCCATGGCCCCCCCAAATGCCGGCAACTTGCTGGCCATGTGGTTAAATTCTATTCCCTCGGACTGTAACAGCCTATGACAGCCGGGGAGGGAATGCAGGACAGAGGGGCTGGAACCGTGCTGGGGCTGTCTGACAGGCTCCTCAGCACAGGCCTCGCCCCAAATATAAGCCCCGCCATAAAGCAGCAGACCATGCTGCTGCAGAAGATGGCTGCCTGACCCCCAGCAACAGCCTCCAGTGACAGGGAGGCTTGGGGGGGGGTGGTGTGTGTGTGCGCGTGTATGGTCTCAGCAGTCTGTGTGTGCGTGCGCATGGTCTCAGCAGTCTGTCTGTGTGTGTAAGTGTATAAATCAGCCTGTGTACGTGTGTGTGTGTGTGTATATTCAGCAGTCTCTCGGTATTCATATTCAGTTTACTTTATGTATGTACTCAGTCTATCAATAATTGAAAATTTTATTCCTGTGAGTTGTTGTGTAGGAAGGGCCCCAGTGCACTGCTTTGCCCGGGGCCCTTAACACTGTTAAGATGGTACTGCTTGTGTGTGTCAGTGAGTTTGTCTGTAGTAAGCTTGTGTGTGAGTTTTTTGTCTGTCAGTGAGCCTATAATGAATCCTCCAACAGGGATTATTAAAAAAACAAAAAAACAAACAAACAAACAAACAAAAAACACATTGTGTCGGGGCGGGGCTTAACATGCGGCAGGGGTGGGTTAAACTGCGGCGAGGGCGGGGTTAAATGTGCCCCCCTACTTTTGACCCTGGCCCACCATGTGCGCCCCCTAAAAATGAATCCTAGTGACGCCACTGGTTCACAAAACATTGAGTGCCAAGTCTACTCATCACTACCCTAGGGAGATTTATCAACAAAGGGGATGTGTGATCACTCAGGGTGAAATGTGAAAGAGTTAGCAAATGACAGCAAACTCCAGTTCAGGCACAGCCCGGCACACTATGCAAATCAGGACAAATCGTTTCTGTTCCTCCTCCTCCAGGAACCATATTCAATGGAATAAAAAGGTAACACATATCAATGACTGATAGGTTGCCACGACGGAGCCGACCAGGTCCAATACAGGAGTAAAGACAGTGGTGTGGAATTATACATTCAATTTCCAGATCTTACAGACATATTTGTATCTCTCGTGCAGAGAGAACTTGCTGGCATTTCGGATCTGGACTGCCCGTATGGGTGGGACCAGTCTGATATGCTTCAGATGTGTTCTCTCTGTAATGGCAATAGATGAGCTAAAACCAGCTTGAGTTCTGAGCGGGGATCCACCGAAGGGCAGGCTATTTTAGCTGCTGTCTGTTCTCTGAATACTCTTGCAACCCATTTTTGCTCTCTATTTGTTAAACACAGATAATAAGCCAGTAATATTAAAAGCCTGGGATGAAAGTGATGAAATCTGTGATTTCCGTCCCTGCCCAGGAATAATTAAAGTAATAACTCCCCCTGATTCCACTGGTTTCAGAGTCCATTTTGCACTGACACAACACCTGCATGGATTGGCTTTGTACTACACCCCTGCCACGTATGTCACTTGGATGTAGGCCCATTTCAGACAGACGGATTCACACAGAAACATAGAATGTGATGGCAGATAAGAACCATTCGGCTTATCTTGTCTGCCCAATTATCTAAATACTTTCATAAGTCCCTGGCCTTATCTTATAGTTAGGATAGCTTATGCCTATCCCACGCATGCACAGCACATACAGCATGTTGATTCAGGCAGCCATAACATAAAATAAGGATGCCACCTCCATTACTTAAACACAAAGTGGTAGCAACGCCAGATGTTGTTGTGTAAGACGCTTGCTGTCTGGGGGAAGAAATGCTGTTGATAGCTCTGGGCTATACTTTTTCCAGAAAATCTTCTAGTTAATGGGGTTACTGGCCACTTAGGGCAATTGGCAACCTTTGGCCTAACTTCCTGGCTAAGCAGGATAGGAGTTGCAGTTTACAGCAGAATAAATGAAAGGCTTGCTTATCTCTGATCCTAGAAGAGTAAGCGTAATGTATGCAGCTGTTAAACGGTTTCAAACTGCAGCCCTAGGTGTGTAAGAATCAACTTCTAAAATTCCTCTAAAGCAGTCTTCAACACGCTGAATTATGCCGACAGCCACAGTCAGGGCCGGCGCTACCATAAAGCGGCACAGGCGACCACACCAGCCAAAGGGAGGATGGGGGGGTGGGGGGTTTGTTGACAGGCAGGAGGGAAGCGCACAGTCTCCTCTCCTGCCAGTCATTTCATGTAGCCTTTTCTGAGCTCCATTACCTCTGTCCAGCCCAGCCTCTGACTGGTGAATGCCACAGGCTGTGTGGAGAGGCGCTGACACAAATCACATCACATGCGTGTACTCTGTGTAGCAAACCGCATGGATGGCGTCTAGTGACGAGGCTGGGCTACTGAATTGGAACTCCACAGATCACAGACTGCATACTTCCCAGGGATGAGATTTCATAGGGCTGAAATTGTGACTGCATGTATTGCTCTATGCCGGCTTTTGTGTGTCTCTGTAGGACTACGTCTGTAGGTTTCTGTATGCCTTGTTCCGTATGTCTCTGTACGACTGCATGTCTGTGTTTGTTTGACGGTGTACGTTTGGTTGTGTGTCTGTATATCTTTGTGACTTTATGCGTGTATGTCTTTTTGCCTGTATATCTATGTCTGTATGGTTTGGAAGAATGAGACAGACAAAAGGGGCTAGTGGGGAAGTAAAAGATGCCAGGGGTTGTAAGAGACTCACAAAAGGGAGAATAAAACACACTAAAAAGGAGTGTAAGACATACAAAGGGGCAAAAGGGGCTTAGGAGACACATGTGAACATGCTTTTTAAATCCTTGCATTGGCTCTGACCAAGCAAACAAACAAACAAACAAACATTCCTACATCGATTCCTGAACCAGTTTCCTTAAAGCTATTCTAACTATGCCAATAGCAGACATTTTATTGCATTTAAGTCCAATATTACAGGATGGTTTTGTTATTTTATGTTCTTAGTGAGGCACACCCTGCCTTTTCTAGACTTAACAGAAAAGTGGGAGGACGAGACAGGATTTTGATTTGAAAAGCTCAGCGCTTGGTGATGTCAGTAATAAAAAAAACAGAATGATGAGATAATTCTGGGACCCGATGTCACCCAATTCAATATTAGCAGAAACAGCAGAATAAGAGAGCTCTGCTCTGACATTATAAAGTGTAAAACCTATAGCTAGCATGTCACATGAACAGCTGTGTTTAACTGGGAGCTCTAGTTATTAGCAGGGGTGGGCTGGTGAGGCGGCAGGGGAGTATTAGCCCCCTCGGTAACTATGCTATAAACAGCATATCCAGGTTTGAAAGGTCGCATCCTCTTTAGAACTAGATATATACGTATTGTATTTCCATTACGGGTGTTCGGTGCCTTCTGTATGGAGTGCTGATGCAACACAGATTGGACTGGTCAGAGTGCATCGCTGATTAATACAGATGGCCACATGCCACTTTTTAGTAGCCAGAGGTAAATAATTCATAGTAAGTCCCACATGTCAAACTGCAAACACTTCATGATGGAGAAGCGGAATGTTAATGCCAACGATAATGACACACATGGAAAAATAAATCGTTACACTACATGCCTTCGTTACAAATAATAATGAAAATAAAAATGCAATTTAATGATCTAGAACAAATATCAATTGTTGGCATGCAAGACTCTTGTGATTAATAATCACGAAGAATGTATTTCTCACATATCCAGAGTGGCAGCATTAGCCATCATTGCTCTCGATGTAGAACAAGTTCCTGGTCCAGGTGTTAGAGATTCTTTACTGAAGAAAGCCAATGAGTGATGTGTGGGGTCAGGGTTTACAGCGAGAGATTCCCAAATAGAACCAATGTTAGTTTGCCCATATTCTGATCTTACAGGCTGGCCACCATCCTGGCACGAAATCCAATAGTTCTCAAAAACCATTACTGCTCACAAAAAAAAAAAAAAATCTTACACTGCACAGGTTTCATTTTAGAAAGGAAACACCTTTTTTCCATTTAAAGACAAGGCAAGATTTAACAGACACATAGAACAGGGATTTCAGAACTATTGCAATATTTCCTTCCCCTCCTGCTAACAGGAGTCACAAAATAAATAAGAAAAAAAAAAGAAGTTGTATTAACCAACATCAAAAATAATCGCCTTACTCTTCAAAGAAAGAAAAAAGGAGCAGTATTAACAAAAACTATAAAAAAAATAAAAATAAATTAAAAAAAAAAAAAAAAAGTTATAAAAACATAAACCGTGTTTTATCATAACTTTATTACAACTTTAAGGAGTTTGTGTGTGTTTTTTTATCATACCAATTTACCTTCTATGTGCGTCATTTTTGGGAGAAACTTTATAATTCCGCACGGTAACACAGAAAATCACAGTCTGCTGGAAATTACAATTACTGTAGTCCTCCTGAATATCAAATATAATGACTGGAGGGGAAGAAGATTTAAATTAGGAGATCAGCACCTTACATTTGGGGCCTATTCACTAAACCAGGAATTGGAAGGTGAGCAAGAGAGTTAAAAAAAAAAAATGTAATGTTTTCCCATTTGCATCTTCCAGCAGAGTGGGGGCTGATATGTCCGTAGCTGTGGATGGTCAAACCACAGAACTGCTTGTTGGCTCTGATGACATCAATGAGAATGTGGGTAAACGCATTGTGAGGCTCGTTTTCCAGATGAAAGGGCGCAGAGGAGGGGGGCTGTAGAATGACAGTGTAATAACTCCAAATAGTGGAAATAGGACCATTCTCCCACTTGCTGAACAGACGTCCATGCACAGCATAGGCAGCCAAATGGCAGACTCCCTCAGCTGCTGTAACACCACAACTCCCACCATTCTTTGCCAGCCTTACGCAGTCACACTGTTGGTATTTTGATCTTCCCTGACAAACCGTGATTACTGACATACAATGTACTTCCCCTCCCCCTACCCCCAGTACGATTTATAGGAAAGCAGAATCACAGGGGAGACGCCGGGTAACATCCAAAATGAAGTAGAAAGTAGATGCAGTCCATGATAAAATTAAACATAATGTTTATTGGAATAGTCTAAAACAAATTCAAGGACATAGCAACAACAACAAAAAACCAAAAACCTCAAAAAAAAAAAAAATTACCCCGGGAGACAGCTTAAACAAGTTATAATTATTATGGTTTCAAGATGTTTTTTAAAGAGCGTTTACAAATAACACAGGCAGTTTATATTCGCCTACTCATTCTAAACCATTTTAAATCAACACATAAGGGGAATATAAAAGTTGAATAATAGTCCGTGTTCTAGATTTACATTAATAAGCCACGATTGTCCTTATTTCACTCTGAGACAATGTGTGTGTTGCACAGTCCAGTTATCTCCACTAGGGGTCACTGTGACATACTCCCAGGATGCCAACCTGTAGATTGCATGACAAACCACACCAGCCTGTCTCAGACCACTTCTTGTACAGACTGGCTCTCTAGAATGACCAAACATGTGGAAGCAGGATGCCAGATTGTATCACTCTGGGCAGCCCAGTTCATCATTCTCAGGGGATCCAGAATGCCCAACACAAAAGCATTTTAAAGTCAGCCGCTCAGCAATGACCACTTGGGCTGCATAGAAAAATGGCACAAAAATCTAAATAGGGTCTCTGAGACCATAAGCACTTCTGAGTCCTAGAGCCGGCTTTACACGAGCCCTCATAGAAACACCCCCAGGGCATAATAATTACAGCCCACGTTAAATGCCAATGGATGAACATGATGTATCATAAGGCATGATAAAAGCAATACACTGCTCACAGCTCTGACATACAATGGGTTAATACAACCTCCCAACACATCATAGAGTAACCCTACGTTATGCTACAGTTACTGGACCACCAGAAAGTCAAGGGGCTCTATTGCTGTAAGTAAATAAAGAAAATATGGATCTTCTGAATCGAATGATATAAATTAAATAGAGTGCAGATATTTTAATACACAAAATATTGCATGTGCTGCCAGACACAGCATTGTTTTGCCAAGCATGGCATGTTTTTTCGGGGTACATGACACAGGTGATGGAATCCCTTCAACTCGCTAATCACCGCTTGTTAGACTGTTAGCTCACACATGCAAGATGCTCCGTACCTTCATTATGTGTCATTGTTACTGGGTGACAAACTGTACGTAACGCAGCGCTACAGAACCTGTTAGTGCCTTATAAATAATAATAAAGTAGGCCAAGCAGGCATCTTATGCAATGCTGGTTAATTAGCAGAATGATATAGGATGGGTGAGGAACACTGTCAAGAATGTTAACTGGGGCAGGCTGTAGGACCAGCCCCAGTCACTAGAATGATAATTTAGGGATAATGACCAGTTTAAACAGGCTGGCAAAGATAGGCGAGGCACATTGCTGGTAAAGTGGCACCAACCACAAACACATGCATCAATAACTGACTTCTAACATTGCAGAGTATATGACCCAATCTAAACTAGTCTTGTGGCCCTTACTCCAATATCTGTATGTGCCAGGTCTCTGGAACACGATTAAACAATGATGCCTTGGAATCTCTCACCAGCTAATGCTGCTGGACCCTTTTTGTTGGATATAATTCATACTTATAAGCTCCAGCTTTTCTTGTAAACCAATCAGAGACCTCTTTAGGTCTAGAGGGTTCCACCACCCCTTGTTTTAAGATGTTCCGTTGGCATTGGAGTTGGGCCAATCGTTTTCTCATTACAACTCATTACAAAGGTCTACACAAAAAGTAGACTTTTCTGATTTCCCTTATTTACCAGGTACTCTCCTCTCCATTTCTCATAATTCCAGCTTTACTGTTTACTCAGAACAAAAGACGCAGGGAGGGCTCTGTTGTCCTCCTTTAGAAGTTGTTGGGAATGTCTCACTGCCCAAGGCACTAGACCCATAACAGAACTAAGTCAGTCAGTCGACCTGCGCTACAAGAGCAATGAACAAACTCCTTCTGATTGATCAAAGTACGAGAGAACGAAAAACCACAACAAAAAGAACTGGAATAAGCTCTAAGTGAAGACTATTAACTCATTCGTGCAATGCTTTGCTCACCACTTGTCCAGACGGTGGCCTACAAATCTTTCTACATACATGACTGACTAAAGAAGCCTATAGAAAATAGGCAATAACCTGTACAGGGTAACACCAGGCGATTTGCCTGTAGATCTTGTGTTGACAAAGGAACTGCAGGATGTTGCGCAGATGCCAACAAAGTTTGCATTTGTGTAATTAAGCCATGGAGCACATGTGATATGTTAGTACACGCTCTTATTTATCCTTTACCAATATAGAGGGAGCAGTATCACCCAAAATATCGCCTCTCGGGCACACAATGGGTTAACCTGTTGTAGGATACGGTGCACAAAATATCAATACAAGACTGTCCCTCATTAAAACAAACAGCGTAGGTTACGCCTTTATAAACATTAATAAATCAAATACGAAATTGGCAGGCGGTTTGGCTGGATTCAAACCTTAAAAGACTTATTGTAGATGATCAATTTACTTTTCAATGCACATCAACTGGTTTTTAATGAATTAACACCTTAGGATATCACAGTAAAATGCGTGGAGTAAAAGTGAACTGGATGGCAGGGAAATAGCTAATCCCCCCTTGTAGAACAATACTGTATTTTTATTTTGAGGGGGGTTAATAAACTACTAGGTTTGTTACCGTTCCACAGAATAAGCTTTGCTGGACATGTTAGTTATTTCTAAATAAACTAATTAAAATAAAATACAGACATCTATTTCCTTCCATTGACTGCCACCAATGCGTAGAATCCCTTTGACCCAGAAAGGGTTAAATGCTTCAACCCCCCCATGTGCTCGCCTTAGAGCACGCTTGTGCTGGTGAATCATATGTAGATGATAGGGAGCTACGATCTCCACTATAGCCAATGACACAGAACATCAGCACAGCTGTACGAGACACGACCCAATAAGTGAGAATCCATCCACAAGAACCAAATTTTAAAAATTCAACGAGTCCACAGAACAGCTGCTGGGGGCCAAATCTTCCCTCCAGTGAGAGGGGTGGTCATCCACCCTGTACCTGGCCAACCTTTGCCATGCCAGCTGCAGTGTACCACTGCCCCCATGACGCTCAGTCTGCCATTTGGAACAGTAGTCCATTACACTTTCTATGCCAAAATGTTACACATTGTGTCTCATTACTGTATTGTAACAAGCTGGTAAAGGGATTTAAATAAAATGAGGGATCTTGGCAAAACCCATTTATATACATAGGATTCCTGTACATGGTAATCGGGTCAGCACACTTCTGTACGGAAACTCTTAAGGCAGCCCTACGTCCTTTGTTAGACTAGGACTCCCATCAGTGTTAGTCGAGGTTGATGAAAGTCATAGCTCCAACAATAGCAAGGGGGATGCACCAGATCTTTTCCCATGGAGAGCACACTATGCCACTGAGTGCTCAATCTGCTTTTTTATTAATAAAAATCTGAGATCCTCACCTGATGTATTGAGGTAGATAAGGAGTTGGGGTATCCTTCCGGGTGTGCTGGAGAATTGCTGCTACCATGCGAAGAGCTGTCGAAATTCCCTGAATAGTCCTGGTACATGATCTGAACTCCAGAGGGGCTGCTTGGAGATTGTCCGTCGTCTATCGGATCTTCAAAAATAATTCACACAAAAAAAAAAGGAAAATAAAAAAATTAAAATTCATAAGTCTCCGGGCTCCATTATACTTTAACTCTGCAGTTGATGAGACAAAGAAAACTAACTCTTTAATGTCACTGCCCCACAGAAGAATTGGAAACCCTCCCCCTTACCGATAACTACTCTTTCATTTCCTAAAATGTTACCCTGTGTCCTACACTCTCCTCCAGGCTGTGACAATGTATCAATACACAGATACTGGTTACACTGTGCCCCACCTTGGCCGCACCAGTCAGTCTGTGTACACACTGTGCTTGTTATAACAGACAGTGCAAAGAAAATAAATAAATAAATAAAATGCTGAGAAAAATTTTAAAAAATATAGAAAAAAAATTAAAATATAAAAAAGTTTTTAAAAAGATAAGAAAATTAAATAATAATAAATAAAAAAAAATGTAAACTCTATTCACTCTGATTTCTACTGAACTTCCCAGAAAACAGAAAAAAAAAATTAGTAAAATGTAATAATGTTGTTTAAAATGAGTAATTTTCCAGAAATTAAAAAAAAAAAAAAAACCAAAAAGTTGGCTGTAAAAAGTGCTCATTGGATATTGTGTGAGTGAGCCATGGCAGGGGGCAGTGAGTGTGTGCTCACCTCCAGGCTCTGTCCCAGGCTGTGTGCTCACTCAGTCAGTGGATATTATGTGAGTGAGCCATGGCAGGGGGCAGTGAGTGTGTGCTCACCTCCAGGCTCTGTCACTGGGCTCTGTCCCAGGCTGTGTGCTCAGTCAGTCAGTGAGTCAGTGGAATGCTATTAGATCAAGCCCACTCTCATTATCTACTGAGCAGGGCTGCATGACGTCACCGCCTACACCACCACCGCCAGCGGGGGTGGCCAGGCCGGATTACACAAGGCACCATGGAGGCGGCAGCTCTGCCCGCGGGGGGGTATTTAAGGGTCGCTGAAAGGCTGCCAACCAGGAATGAGATGATTTGTTTTGTTTTTTAATTGGTGTTGGGTGATGGTGCTCCCCCGCATGGCCCTTGGTATCGTCCATTGACGCATGTTGCCATAGAAGGACATTGGCGTGTAGTGACGCGCGCGGGTTTCCTTGGCTCGGGTGACGCGCGCGGACAGGGATTCCCTCTCTGTGTGTGTCTGTGTGTGAGAGAGAGGGTGGGAGGGGCCTGTAGTCGTGGGCGGAGCCTGGCACTGTGGGCGGAGCCACGCACCATGGAAACCGAGGGCTTCAATTCCTAGTATTAGATTAATGCAGAGGTCAATAAACAGTGACTGCTGGTCTAATGATAATAATAATTAATAATAATAAATATATCAATAAACAGTGACTGCTGGTCTAATGGCAATAATAATAATAATAATAATAATTAATAATAATAAATATATCAATAAACAGTGACTGCTGGTCTAATATATCAATAAACAGTGACTGCTGGTCTAATGGCAATAATAATAATAATAATAAATAATAAATATATCAATAAACAGTGACTGCTGGTCTAATGGCAATAATAATAATAATAATAAATAAATATATCAATAAACAGTGACTGCTGGTCTAATGGCAATAATAATAATAAATAAATATATCAAACAGTGACTGCTGGTCTAATGGCAATAATAATAATAATTAATAATAAATATATCAATAAACAGTGACTGCTGGTCTCATATCAATAAATACAGACTGCTGGTCTAATATATCAATAAATATTGACTGCTGGTCTAGTATATCAATAAACAGTGACTGCTGGTCTAATATATCAGTAAATAAATACTGACTGCTAGTCTAATATATCAAAAATTACTGACTGCTGGTCCAATATATCAATAACTACTGACTGCTGGTCTAATATATCAATAAATACGGCCTGCTGGTCTAATATATCAATAATTACTGACTGCTGGTCCAATATATCAATAACTACTGACTGCTGGTCTAATATATCAATAAATACGGCCTGCTGGTCTAATATATCAATAAACAGTGACTGCTGGTCTAATATATCAATAAATATGGACTGCTGGTCTAATATTTCAATAAACAGTGACTGCTGGTCTAATATATCAATAAATACTGACTGCTGGTCTAATATATCAATAAATACGACCTGCTGGTCTAATATATCAATAAATACTGACTGCTGGTCTAATATATCAATAAACAGTGACTGCTGGTCTAATATATCAATACATACTGACTGCTGTTCTACTATATCAATAAATAAATACTGACTGCTGGTCTAATATATCAATAAACAGTGACTGCTGGTCTAATATATCAATAAACAGTGACTGCTGGTCTAATATATCAATAAATACCGACTGCTGGTCTAATATATCAATAAACAGTGACTGCTGGTCTAATATACCAATAAATACGGACTGCTGGTCTGATATATCAATAAATAATGACTGCTGGTCTAATATCAATTAACAGTGACTGCTGGTTTAATATATCAATAAATACGGCCTGCTGGTCTAATATATCAATAAATACTGACTGCTGGTCTAATATATCAATAAACAGTGACTGCTGGTCTAGTATATCAATAAACAGTGACTGCTGGTCTGATATATCAATAAATAACGACTGCTGGTCTAATATATCAATAAACAGTGACTGCTGGTCTAATATATCAATAAATATGGACTGCTGGTCTAATATATCAATAAACAGTGACTGCTGGTCTAATATATCAATAAATACTGACTGCTGGTCCAATATATCAATACATACTGACTGCTGGTCTAATATATCAATAAACAGTGACTGCTGGTCTAATATATAAATAAATACTGACTGCTGGTCCAATATATCAATAACTACTGACTGGTCTAATATATCAATAAATAACGACTGCTGGTCTAATATATCAATAAATATGGACTGCTGGTCTAATATTGCAATAAACAGTGACTGCTGGTCTAATATATCAATAAATACTGACTGCTGGTCCAATATATCAATACATACTGACTGCTGGTCTAATATATCAATAAACAGTGACTGCTGGTCTAATATATAAATAAATACTGACTGCTGGTCCAATATATCAATAACTACTGAATGCTGGTCTAATATATCAATAAATAGTGACTGCTGGTCTAATATATCAATAAATATGGACTGCTGGTCTAATATTGCAATAAACAGTGACTGCTGGTCTAATATATCAATAAATACTGACTGCTGGTCTAATATATCAATAAACAGTGACTGCTGGTCTAATATATCAATAAACAGTGACTGCTGGTCTAATATATAAATAAATACTGACTGCTGGTCCAATATATCAATAACTACTGACTGCTGGTCTAATATATCAATAAATATGGCCTGCTGGTCTAATATATCAATAAACAGTGATTGCTGGTCCAATATATAAATAAATAAATACTGACTGCTGGTCCAATATATCAATAATTACTGACTGCTGGTCTAATATATCAATAAACAGTGACTGCTGGTCTGATATATCAATAAACAGTGACTGCCGATCCAATATATCAATGCATACTGACTGCTGGTCTAATATATCAATAAACAGTGACTGCTGATCCAATATACAATAAATACTGACTGCTGGTCCAATATATCAATAACTACTGACTGCTGGTCTAATATATCAATAAATACTGACTGCTGGTCTAGTATATCAATAAACAGTGACTGCTGGTCTAATATATCAATAAACAGTGACTGCTGGTCTGATATATCAATAAATAACGACTGCTGGTCTAATATATGAAACCAGTAGAACCCCAGCTGTCAAAGCATTATTGGAGTTGCACGACAGGTGGGGATCTACCTTTTGGCCACCCTTGTGGTAGGTGCAGGCAGGCATAAGGCCTGTAGTGGCTGAGGCGGATGCAGGGAGGGATAGAGGCTGAGGTACGTACAGGAAGGGACAGAGGCTGAAGTGGGTGTAGGAAGGGATAGGAGCTGAAGTGGGTGCAGGGGGGATGGAGGCTGAGAGGTGGGTACAGGGAAGGATAGGAGCTGAGGTGGGTGCAGGGGGGTGGAGGCTGAGGTGGGTACAGGGAGGGATGGGGCTGACTTGGGTACATGGGAGATTGGGCTGTATAAAATATCTAAAAAGCGCTCCCTGTACTGTCTGCCAGGCTGCTGCTCCTTCCTGCACGGTCCACTGAAATGAGGATAGGGCAGGAAGTGATGTCCTTCCCAACCACCGGTTGTATAGACTTACCTGCACTTGGTGCCCACGGCGTTCCCCACCTTAGTCCGCGCAGACAGAATCCAACACCCGGCCGCACTGCTCCCTCACTGGCCCACGTGCAGTGTGATGTGGCCACCAGCTGGGGAGGGAGGGAGACAGGAGAGGACCCAGAGGAGCTCTATCTTGCAGCTCCGCCAGGTTCCTCTTGCGAGATCCGGAGCAGTGAACCCGCAAGCTAGAGTTCATTCACCACTAGGACCACCAGGGATTGCAGCTCGGCCCTCCTCCCAGTCAAAAGATAAGAAAGGAGGGGGGATACAATCAATCAGTGCTTGTTTTATGGTTTTATTTTTTTTAAATTAATATATTGACAATAATCTGCCCCCCCCCCTCCAAACACACAAGCCCTCCAAACCTATTCACACACCAGCACCCTCTCTCTCACACACACACACACTGCACCCCTGACACTCACAGCACCTTCACTCAAACACACACACACACCGCACCCCTGACACTCACAGCACCTTCACTCAAACAAACACACTCACTGCACCCACACTCACACACACACACTGCACCCCTGACACTCACAGCACCCTCACTCACACACAGCACCCTTACCCACAAAGCACTGCTCTCGCGCACACACATCACACCCCTCACACACACACACACAGCATCCTGACACACGGCACCCTCACACTCACAATGCACCCCTCTCATAAACAGTGCACCCCTCACACACACTGCACTCCTCACACATACACGCTACACCCTTCACACAAACTGCACCCCTCACACATACACACAGCACCCCCTTAACACACACACATACAATACTTCCAAACATATATGTATATATACTACAGAACCTCTCACACACATACTGCACACCTAAACACATTACATTCCAGACATACACTAGATCCCTTACCCAACTCTGGACCATCTACACACATACACACACTAGATCCCTATATACACCATGAATCCTCTACACACACACACACTCTAACTTGATCTCCTATACATACACTCTGTATTTCTGGTATCCTGACCTGGCTTGTTAACAAATTTAAACCTATTTAGTTTAGAAAAACGTCGCCTGAGAGGGGATATGATAACATTATACAAATATATTCGGGGCCAATACAAACCATTATGTGGAAATCTATTCACAAATCGGACTTTACATAGGACACGAGGCTATGCGTTTAGACTGGAAGAAAGAAGATTTCGTCTAAGGCAAAGGAAAGGTTTTTTTACTGTAAGAACAATCAGGATGTGGAATTCTCTGCCTGAAGAAGTGGTTTTATCAGAGTTCCATACAGATGTTCAAACAGCTACTAGATGCATACTTGCAAAAACAGAATATTCAAGGATATAATCTTTCAATGTAGGGTAATAACTGCTTGATATAAGGATAAATCTGACTGCCATTCTGGGGTCAAGAAGGAATTTTTTTCCTAACTTGTTGCAAAATTGTGCTTCATACTGTTTTTTTTTGCCTTCTTTTGGATCAACAGCAAAAAACAAATGTGAGGAAGGCTGAACTTGATGGACGCAAGTCTCTTTTCAGCTATGTAACTATGTAACTATGTATATTGACCGGTGTATTTCTAGTATCCTGACCCGGCTTGTATATTGACCGGTGTATTTCTGGTATCCTGACCTGGCTTGTATATTGACTGGTGTATTTCTGGTATCCTGACCTGGCTTGTATATTGACCGGTGCATTTCTGGTATCCTGACCTGGCTTGTATATTGACCTGTGTATGGTTTAAGGTGATACTTCTTGGTATTTCAAAGGTATTCGTTGTCAATTCACTGTTTAGTGAATAAGGTGTGGCTGAACCAACCTCGCCACTGGCCACTGGAGGAGCCTGGTCGCCCGCCTCCTGCTGCTGGACTATGGCCCCATGTTTAACACTGTTCTTTTTCCCTGCAGAAAGGCTGGTTCGTGCATTTCTGCGGACTGTCACGAACACCGCTGAGCTGCCGACCTCCCTTCTCCTACCTGCAGTCAATTATCCAAACACTGGTCCATTTGGTACTTTACTGTTTAAACCATGCTACCCCAGATAGCTATGCCATGGAGCCCAGCCGTATACTAAAAGACTATGGGAAAGACTTTGGCTCCATGGCGATTGAACTGTATGTATGTGATCTGAGCACCATTCATTAATAATGTGCGCTCAGATCTAAGCTATCTGGGGATAGGTAGAATGTGTATGTTCTATGTGATAAATGTAACAGTATGTATTTTTATGTCTTTTATTGTCCTTTGTCTGCCATGTGGTTAATGGAGTTTTGCCTCTGTCCTTGGAGATAATTAGATTACTTCCCAATTATCTCCAGGACAGAGAGGAGGGATTGTGATGCATTGTGGGATTGTAAGCTTGTGATTGGTCAATGTCCAATATGTTTCCCAGTCTCCCATTTGGTCCCCTAGGGGAGTGTCCACCAGGTGGGAGACCTGCATAAAAGCCGGGCAGTTAGCCCCAGTAAATGAGTTCCTGCTTAACCCTCAAACGAAGTGTTGTCTCGTTCTTGGGGGGAATTGGATTATATGCTGTTACAGTGTGACTGCCAGGAGTGTAAGCTGTTCGTATGGTTTTTCCTGTTCGGCTGTTTACAGCATTCGTGTGTTTCCTGTTCGGGAGTTTGGAGCATTCCCCTGGTTCCAGTTCGGGAGATTGGTGAATTCATGTGTTTGCAGTTCGGGAGATTGGTGAATTCATGTGTTTGCAGTTCGGGAGATTGGTAATTGCAGTAGCTGTCTGTGCATCTGAAAAGGGGAATATCGCCTAAACGGTTTTTAACCTCTTGTGTGCAAAACGGTCCGTTACAATTGGTGGCAAGCGGTGGGATCTTTCCCACAGCCCAGAAGGACAGCTACAAGGTAACACCATTCCCTGGATTTACAAATTGAGGGTAACGCTAGTATCCGTCCAGCGCCCCTATCTACAAAGGAACTCAGAAAATGGAGGAGAAGTTTCAAGATAGATTGTACTGTTTCGTATCCCTGGGGTCTGGAGCAGTTTCAGAGGAGGACATGTTGAGTTGCAGAGAGATTGCCAAAGCCGAGCTGTGGGACGAAGCCCTAGAGAAAGTACAGTATTGGCGAAGAGATCGGCGCCGCAGTAGAAGGAAGCGAATCCTGGCTCGAATGGCAGAGCGGATGCCCCCCTGAGAAAACAGACCGAAGAAGCATGGGTGACTAGACTCGAGATTCTAGTATTTACAGAACTGCCGCTCGACGACGCATACCAGGCGATACAGTGGTACGCAGCTCAGTGTGTCCCGAGATGGCAGAGTATGAGTTCCCAGAGGGCGGAGATTACGCTGGCCCTGGCCTATTTTGGGATAATATTGACGATGAGGACTTTGGAAAAGCTACCGGCTTTCGGTTTTGGGACCTGTGTTACGACCGAGAAGACATGCTGGTTCTCCCTAGCGTTGTTGATCTCGAGGCAGACCTACGGTATCTGGTCGCCAAGGAATGTCCTGGAGTGGGATTACCTGCAACTCATCAATGAGGCCCGGGAAGAGACAACCGGTCCTCTTCCCCAAGAGCATCCAGCGGTACCAGAGGTAGCGGATCCCCAGCTGCAGTATGTATCCCAGGGAGCTGAAGGTGCCATCCTTCCTCCCCAGCGGCAGTGTGTGTTCTTAGGAGAGGAGACAGGTGGTCCCTCTCCCCAGCGGTCAAGTGAGTCCCAGGAAGCCGAAGGTGCCGTCCTTCCTCCCCAGTGGCAGTATGTTTCCCAGGGAGCTGAAGGTGTCGTCCTTCCTCCCCAGCAGCAGTGTGTGTTCTTAGGAGAGGAGGCAGGTGGTCCCTCTCCCCAGCAGTCAAGTAAGTCAACTGAAGGTGCCGTCCTTCCTCCCCAGCGGCAGTGTGTGTCCTTAGTAGAGGAGACAGTCAGTCCCTCTCCCCAGCAGCTAAGTGAGTTACAAGGAGCCGAAGGTGCCGTCCTTCCTCCCCAGCGGCAGTGTGAGTCCCAGGGAGCTGAAGGTGTCGTTCTTCCTCCCCAGTGGCAGTGTGAGTCCCAGGGAGCCGAAGGTGCCGTCCTTCCTCCCCAGCAGCAGTGTGTCTGGCAGGGAGCAGAGACAGTCGGTCTCGCTCCCCAGCAGCGGGACAATATATTGAAAGGGGAGACAGTC